AGTGTTAGTGTGTTACTTGTGTTTGCCTCTTCGTGAGGTTGTTCTCTCGATATTTTGTACTCTTTTTTTATTACAGTGGATTGCTCATCTCTGCTGAGGACGTAGATCAGTTGACCGAACCACGTTAAATGTGTCTCTTTTGGTAGATTTCTCTTTTGTTGCATAATTTATCGTCGTTCAAGGTTTGCTTAGCTAGCTTCCGCATGACACCTGGTATTTTCGGTCCTAACAAAGGGGATGTGTGAAAATATAGAATGAGTTTTGTCATTGCAGACATATCACAGCTGCATTTCCTAGTTTTTATGATGTAGCTAGAAAGGAATACTGAAATTTACAAGGCTCTCCGCGTTATAATCGCAAAAATAGAACACAAAAAGAATGCTATATCAACTATACAGTGATCATATATTCAGAAATGACAATGCTAATATGCATAGAATGAGAATGTGTCTTGGTCCAGTTATCTTGTGCTTTGAGCTAACATGTCCTGTAAGTTCATTGGGTAGCACATAGGTGTGTGTAAGCCGGACCATACATTGTCGGCAAGGATCGCGTTCACAGCATCAGTCGGATGAAATTGATCCCACCAGATATGGTTCGAGGCGTTACTGCATGCCATTTCAGGGGAAATGCACAAGATCCAGCCTCTGTATTTGCCTAAACCACAGCAAGCCTCATCTGTTACATTGAAACCTGTAATGGAAATGATTAAAAGACGTTAGACTGGATACATGATGCGTCCTATCAAATAAATCGTTATAAATCATACGGATGGATCGCTCACCATAACGGTCATGATTCTGAATGATGTCCATTGAACCTTCAAACGCGTCACAGAAGATGACAGTGGCACCAACAAGCTCCTCATTAAGTTCAGCAACTATATATCTAACAGCAAAGTTGAACTCCAGTATCATGTCATTTATGGTTTCGACACACTGTCCATTCTTGCTATGGTATAGCCAAAGATAATAAGGAGCACACCCTATTGGAGCCAGTCCCATTACAACCACCTTTCTTACATTGGCATTGTACAAGTTCTGTTCCACCAGTATATACACATTAGATAAATTCCTAGAGAAAGCTTTAGAAAGCATTGCTGACATATATAGAAGCAGAATAAACCTGTTGAACTAAAGAATCTTGGAAGAACAGTAGAGCAGTAGGGGGAATCGAAACATGTTAGAGCACGATAAAGTGAGCAAGGTACAACAACAACAACGAACCCAGTGTATTCCCATAAATGGGGTATGGGGAGGGTAGTGTGTACTCAGACCTTACCCCTACCTTATAAAGATAGGGAGGCTGTTTCCGATAGATCCTCGGCTCAAGGCACAATGGAGATGAGGCGACAAGTAGCAAACAATAGTAACAACAATACATTAAGGTAATGTACACGAATGACACAACATGTAATAGTAAAGAATCATGAATAAGATAACACAAAAATAGTCATAGTACTACCGGTAAGCCTACTAATTGTCAACCTTCAACCCTAATCCTCGACCTCCACGTCTTTCTATCGTGGGTCATATCCTCGATAAAGTGAGCAAGGTATGAGCGATAAAGTTGCAAATAGTGCTCGCATAGAATACTTTGTTGCTGTTTCAAGATATCATCCAAGAGGAGAAAGGAAATGTGAATGCTTTAAGTGACAATAAAAATTGAAGAAATCATATTCTTCTTGTTCTAATTTTGCTAAATCAATTACTGGATTTAGCCCTGTCCCTAAATATGTAAATATTCAGCTTTCTTGGCCATATAGGTGTCTTACAATCTGTGCTAGATAGGGAGACATTATTTAACTTAGAACTCTTACAACAAAAAAGGGCAGCCCGCCCGGTGCACTAAGCTCCCGCTATGCGCGGGGTCTGGGGAAGGGCCGAACCACAAGGATTTATAGTACGCAGTCTAACAACAGAACTGCAAAATTCAATACATCTAAAAGTCACAGAAGACAATAAAAGAAGGTGTTAAGATAATACTGCACCTTAATCTCTTGTTTCATTGTCTGTGCCAAAAACTGGTTGAAACTCCAGGGTAAGTAAACAGATTGAATATCAGATACATTCCGGAGATAGTAATGAATGTAATCGTTGGTTCCAATCGAAATGTAGAACACAGAAGTTGATATCAGATCAGCTGTTGCTTCTTCACCAATAGTCATTATAAATTGCTGAATAGTATCAGTAACTTGCTCTATTTGTTGTGCTAGGGAGATATGCTGACCCTGCATAAACACTAATCTTGTTTAAGTACTTATCTAAGCATCAAAATCATCTACTAACTATAAAATTAATCATAAATTTTGGTTCAAAACAGAAATTGTAGTGAAAATTTTTACCAATTCAGAGCCACTTGAGAAAATAATGCCAGCACCAGCAGAAGCATAATTAACACCAAGAATCATGTCTTCAATTGAACCAGC